TAAAGAGAATATTCAAGAACCCTACAAAGTTTGAAACAATTTTCAAATAGAAAAAATCAACGAGTTTTTAAGATGTTCAATGTTTATTAGCTTCACAAATTTTTATCAAATAATCATCAAAGAATATTATAAGATTGCTATTTCATTAACACAAGTTCACTTGCAAATACAAGCTTGAATGCAATAAGATGGTATTTAAAGCATTTGAAATTCTAGATTTGAATGGAATATGATAAAAAAAAAGCATTTGCAACCCTAAAATTGACATTTATCACTACAACTATCTTGAGCCATCTTGATTGTCAAAAGCCATTCTTTCTTGAAAACAACGCTACTGATTTTTGCTCATGAAGTGATTTTTTCACAATATGATGAAGACAAACATATCCATCATGTCACATCTTATTTGCCAAAATTCACAACTATAGAGATCAACTACAAGACTCACGATAAAGAGCTTTTAACCATTGTTGATTTGTTTCAAGAATGACAAGATTTACTAAAAATATCTCAACATTCAACTACGATCCACATCAATCACAAGAACTGTTAAGTATTTTATGTCTACAAAGGCATTGAAATGACTACATGCACGTTTAAGCACATTACTATCACGTTGCAACTTTGTCATCACATAGTGATTTAGTTTACTACAAGATCACTTTGATGCTTTATGAAGACGAGTTTATTTTGGATCAAAAAAGATGATGCAGTTTGTGATCAACATCATCAAATTTGATTAAAATGTGAACCAGTTTTGCTTCAAATTATCCGCAAAACAACTTTGGTTGATGCATCATTTCTCCGCGTAAGTTTAAACTTTGATACTTTGGCTTTGAACTTCAAGAATCATTTAAAATTTTCTACTTTGGTAGATTTTCAAGCTATAGATTTTCAAATCCTTGATTCTAAGATTATAGATTTTGAATTTTTAAATTTAACTATATTGGTTTTATAGTTACAGGGAGCTAAAACATCTTCAATTGATTGTGATCCAAGATTTCACAAGTATGAACTGTTCTACTATCAAGAAGATTTTCAAATCATAGATTGTCAAATTTTTGATTCTGAAATATAGATTTCCAAATCCAAATAAATTACAAATCAAATGGGGATCTCCAAATTAGACTACAATGTGTGCATAAATCCATAAATAACATGGAGCTAAAACGTACCAAAATGATACAGATTTCACTTCAAGGATGGATTTTTTTACTAGCAAGGATTATTATGTGTACTCTTATGCATATGCCAAATTTGAATGCTTGACTCTCGACATGACTTTTAGCCGGCAGGACATTTTGACTTTAATAAGAGTATTAAGTTATTTTAAAAAAATTCTAATGATCACGAATGTGAAAATTTGTTAAAAGTACATCACAACAAGTAACATCTGTCCAAGATCCAAGATTCCTCAACGTAGTTTGGATGAATTATTACACCCATTTCTAATAAAAAAAAAACCATGATCTTACATATTCATAAAGCTTCTTGTGTACTTTTCAAAGTTCAAATCTTTTGATTATGTTTATATTGTAGTCAACAGTTTGACAAAGATAACACACTTTGTCACAACACAATTTTTCTTTTAAAATGTGTACAAATATCATGAAATTTTTGTAGACATCATCAATAATTGTAATATGCAATTCACATCTAAGTTCTAGTAGTTTACATTCAAAATCCTACAAATGAGGATCAATCTATCATTTATGTATCATCCTTAGACAAATGAACAAATCAAACAGATGATGTAAGTGTTGAGCTAGTATGTAAAAAGTTATATCAACCAATATCAAGATAGTTAGATGAATCCAATTCTAGTTGCAGACTTTAATTACAAAAATATATTTAAAGAATCCATTCATCAAACTCCGTTATTTGCAAATTATGGATATTATTTACAACTTGACTCTTTGAACATGAATTTTGGAAAAAGTTTGTCCACGCAATATCTTGTCATTAGACTTTTGAAAATTCATGAAGGCAAGATTTATAAAAGATCAAGAAAAATGCTAATATATCTCAAAAGCAAAATTTAAATATCAAAGTTGGTGATAACGTGTGGCTTTTGCGTCAATTTGAAGACTCGCGATTTTAACGACAATCTTAAATATCATTCTTTTGTTGTCTTGAACCTCTTGTTGTTAAGAAACAAGTCAACAAGATAACATATAGGTTGGATTTGTCATCATCTATGAAAATTAATCTAATGTTTCATAATTTTTTGCTTGAAGCGTATAGAAAATCAATTAATCTAAAACAGCAGCCAGCGTTTCCGCTATTCATTTACATTAATAGCAAAAAGAATTTGAAATGTCAAAGATGCTTGACTTTCGCATCAATCAATTAGAATTGAGATCTTTAGTTTTTCTCACTTACCCAACTTCAATTGTACCATAAATTAAAATGATAGTATGTTTTTGTGATAGTATGTAATTGCATCATCCAAAGATCCAAATCGACAAATTTGATATTTGAAGACTAGCATTGCTTTAAAAGTTGAATTTTACACAAGATGATTATATCTAAACTCATGGTAATGATACATAGTAATATACTTCTCAAGCAAAAATAAATGGACTTCCATTCTGCGCTCGTGGTACAGTATAAACTCGATTAAATCCTCACTTCGATCTGAGTTTGTGCGGACTTATATGGGATGCAGACTTTAGTTATATCACATCTTGTGACTTCAATCTTTCCGCGATATTTCTGTGTTAACTATTGTCAAAAGGTCTTAATAACGAGAAAAGCCTCGGACAACATTCCAATGATTTTCCAGACGTAGTGATACTTCGTACCACCCTTCACTTCGTCCCAAAAAACTATTTACCCTGTGGTTAGAGGTTAACATTGACATTACTAATAGTCCTTGTATTGCAATTGGTAAGGAAAAGGATCGTTAATATCTGACTCAATTTTTATTACAATAAGTTTGTGCTGTTCTTTCTCAACACCGTCCACAAGGAACTCATGTCGATATGGTTATTTACCGAGACATTATATTTACGATATTGGTAAGTCTGGAAAGATTGATATGAGTGAAGTCTTATCAAGAATGAAACTGGGTTTGAGTCGCATGGAATATGAATAGGAAGTAGGATGAAAACTAGTAGACTTAGATACAAGCAGTTATTGAAAGATCCAACCTTATGGCCAAAAAGGAGAGAGAGCTAATCTCTAGTGAGAAACCACCATGTTGCCTCATACATGCAAACATTCGTTTTAAGTTATAACAATTTTTAAGCATCACCGTCATTAATCAAAAGTTTGAATTCTGCTCATAATAAAACTCTAGAATTCTGATCCTTGAAATTTCGTCTGAAAATGCGGATTTATATGGGTGCGGACTTAAATGAGTGTATACTGTAAACCACAACATGAATTATCCATAGCATGAAATCATTGGACTCAATGATACCAACTGATTGGAAATCAGTCGTAGTCCCATAGCTATCATCTTTGCACCATTGAGTGTGAACCCAGTGGAGACACACTCAATGGTTCAAAAAATATTATATCTGGTTGTAATCCATACACGTTGGGGGACTCCCCACACCCTTGTCATAGGCGCGGGGATACATTGTCAGAACTAACAGAGCTATCTTTATCACTTATTGGCACCTAATTAGAATCATCTATGAAGTGCAAAGTTCAAGGGGTATTGGATTGTGCGAGAGATATAGTGTTTACCAAACCAGTGTCTCTTCCGAAACCTCAAGAGAGTTACACATGAACTTGTTTCAGTGCCGATTGAATTGAAGAGAATTTAGCATATTTGAAGAATAAATGTTACATGAAAATGAGGAAGTCTAGTTTGCTAGCATGTAAAAATCACCAGCGTTTAGACATAGTCATAGTTTGGTGGGGAACATAAGAAACTAATGAAGTGGAAGTAATATTTTAAAAGCCCAAATCTTTACTTAGCGATTTAGACTTGTCCCCCTTTTCATATATATTCTTTCGCTTTTTTATAAAAAGTGAACTTTATTTTAGCAAGTGAGGTCTGTCATCTCGAAAAACACTCCAAGAAGTAAGGCAAGTGGGAAGAATCATTTGAGTGATGGATATGAGATCCATGATACAGCCCATGAGACGTGCATGCACTACAGCCCAGTATGTTGCAGTCCTTTAAACAAAATATATTGTTCAATATTGGGCTTTGTCTCTGTGGCATATGTCGAAGAGGACCTTGTTTTGAGCTCTTAGAGTCAATGATATCCCTGCATTGCCATGCTCCGGAATCACACACGAGGATACTCCTCGTACAATGTGTCTACACCGGACTCATTGCAGCCAATGCGGTACATTGCTATTCCTTTGTTAATGTTTCTGAATTATTTCCACGTTTATTTTTCCCCTCCTTCTAGAAAATGGCAATGTCGGTGCAGCCGAGGGTGCAGGCTGTTCAGCATACATTATAATATATTGGAGTTATCTCTTGGAAATAACTGTAGCCTACTGGATTCTCGTCCTGGTATCATTCCCGACAATGGAAAGCAGAACGGACGGACTCTGGCTTGTGTTGTGGGTGTCATTTTACTGTCAAAACAATTAATCACATTATGACATACGCCTTCTGCCTTATGGTAGGAATCATTGCTCTGGTCGGTCAAGCGTGGACTACCACTGCTGGCCAACTAAATTCTGACAGTCCCACTGAAGTCACTACGGCAAGAGTCCTTTTCAGCCCCTGTGCTGTAATAAGATAAGCACCACGCTAGTAAATGACCTAGTTAAATTCTGGGTTGAACTTCACATGCGTTGTGGGATTTTATCATTCACAATGGCCTGTTTTTCTTGGAAGTTGAGGTCGGTTGTCTGGTTATGGTTTTTCGGGAAACGCCCGCTGTATCCATCAGCTTAAGCAGTTGATATCTGTAGCAGTAAAAAAAAATTACTACCCTGTAAGTTCTGTCTGAACCTCAGTGGTTGCTACGAATCAATTCTCTCAGAAATGTAAGCTTAGTGCACTGCCAGTACTGAAGCTCATATTCTACGATACATTGATGCAGTTAGACATCCAAAACACCGTGCATAAGGGTGAAACACTTTCAGGATAATATCGACACGTCCTTCGAAAATGTCTCGAACATGTTCATGGTCAGAGGCTCTCACTCGTTGAATCGCTGAGGAACTGACTTCATGTCGGAGCTGATCAGAAGATGGATGAACAGGAAAGATGTCATGGCTGGGGAAGCTTAACAAAGGGGATATGAAACGAAGACAGGGTGTGTCAGGGCCAGGACCAGGACGGAGCAATCTGGGTTCTCAGGACGATCGTCGAGGAAGTCAAGGAATTGTAGTTACAAGCACACACTCGCCGCAGTGATTCCTATCGCCAAATCTTGGAATCAGAAGGAGACGATGGGCCAGAGAAAAATGTCGAGCCAAGTAGACGACACTGTCATTTTGGGGGACTACGAAAATCATCCACCAGACACGGCGAATCTCGCTCTCTTTACGTACTTCCTGTTGGGAATCGGCTGCATACTGCCATGGACCACTTTCACCACAGCTGTCGATTATTTCGAGTACCTGTTCCCGGACTCACAAATCTCCCGAGTCTTCGTCGCCATCTACCAGTGCTCCTTCTTCGTCTCTTTGAGCTTGATGCTCAGGTTCGGACTCCACATCCCCAGTCGAGTTCGCATCAATGCCGGCCTCCTCATGCTCCTGGTTCCCATGCTCCTAGTCCCGGCCGTGAACGCCTTCATCATCCGCGAAGATGCAGACAGGAACAATCCCCTGGCACGCACATTGACGCTCATACTCATCGGTCTGTCTGGTGTAGGAACCGCTGCGATGGAGGGTAGTGCGACAGGAGCAGCGGGCCAGCTCCCGCAGAGATTCATGAAAGCTGTGGTCTCGGGAGGAGGAGCTTGCGGGGTGCTGGTATCGTCACTGAGAGTTGTAACCAAAGCTGCTCTGCCTCAGACTCCAGATGGCCTGCGGACAAGTGCCAATTTGTACTTCGTAGTGACTTCGGTCATTCTGCTGCTGTGCTTCGTCTCTTACAATCTCATCCACAGGCTGCCATTTATGATTCACTTCACAGCACTGAGAGCCGCCATCAACGAAGAGAAATCCGAGGCCAAGCTCCCTAGGAGGCAGGATTTGGAGACGGAAGTCACCAGCAGCTTGCTAGTGAATGGCGATCGGGAGAGGGCGGAGGGCGGTGGCTTGGTCGCGACGCTGGCAACCGTGAAATGGTACGCAGGCTGCATCACCTTGACATACATCATCACCCTGACCATTTTCCCTGGCTTCCTGGCCGAGGACGTGCAGTCGTCGATCTTGAAGGACTGGTACCCCGTTCTGCTGATTTGTTCCTACCAGTGGAGCGATCTGCTTGGCAAGCTCTGCACCACGCTCTACATTCCCAAGCTTTTGAGGACGCTGGTGCTGGGCTCCCTCGCCAGGCTTCTGTTTCTTCCGTTGTTTGGGGTGATCCTGCACGGACCCGGGGCTTTCAGGACCGAGGCCTCTGTGTTTCTGTCGACTTGTCTGCTCGGATTCACTGGCGGTTACTTGGCCGCGTCCAATTTCGTCCTCGCTCCCAAGCTCGTTACGTTCGCTCAAGCCGAAAGTGTGGGTGTGATCATGGACCTGTGTCTCGGATTGGGCGTCTCCTTGGGTTCTGTTTCGACGTTTGTCTTCACATTGTAGGAATGCAGTTGCCGAAGTACCTCGGTGTTTTATTCAGCTCTTCGAAGACCGGGCAGCTCAGCTCCTCCAAGTGTTGTGTAGCTGGAATGGGGTTTGACCTGGCCTCCCTTCCAACATTTCATGTTTTCACCTGCGGAGATCGACGAGTTCCTGGGTGCTGTTATTCGTGGTTGGCAATTCAGTGACATACGTTTGAAGCCATTCTTTATCGGCCACATGCAGTAGATAGAAAGACCATTGATGATGGTATTCTTTGTGAAGATATAGTCTCAACGAGGGTGTGTGTGAAATCTTCATCGTAGTATGATGTTCAAAATATAATTTCATTTACAAAAGAAAGTCCGCTTTATCTTTCACCGTGCACTACCAGTTTTAGAGAGTATTCCTACTCTTTTCTTCAAGCAGGATTGTCATCTCACATTTGATATATTTAGATTGTGTCAGAGTTTTCAATTCAGAAGTTGTCTTCTAGATTGTACTATGGTACACATGTGATAAAACGGCCTTCTTGTGCACCCTTCCACACTCATGGACGTTTAAAATTGAAATTGAAACGTATTCGCATCTATAACTGTTGAAACCATGCTTAAATGCAGGTGCTCTTTCTCGTGGAAGAAGCTTCCACATTACGGCCTTATTTTGGCTCTCCATCTGCTTCCTGAGTTCCAAAAAGAATAGAAAGTACCCTTCAGATAATCGTCGACTTGATCACCTCACCCACCATCCCGCTCACCGACCATTACCAAAGATCGCGCACTTCTGAAACCAGCGAATGAGACCTTATATTTGTGCGGCTTGATGGGTATTTCCATCGTTTTCTTTGACTACCTTTTGGTCCCAGCGAGTATTCTATTTTTTTAAGTTTTAAACAGTAAATACAAGATAACATCGAATATGTGAAATATCGCAATAATTGATTTACTCTTTACGAAGCATATTCCTTGGCGATAACGTGGCTTGTTTCTTATATGGGTTCTTAGTAAGTTACACGTTTAATTAATGCTTCATTACTGTTGAACTTTTCTGACATGAAGTCTTTGCTGTTAGCCACAAAGAGTTACGATCAGACATAAAATCTGGGTGGGCTCCGTTTCTCTGATATAGTGGTGGAGCGGAATAGACTCTCATTCAGGTCATTTTACATGCTCCTCGTGCAGGGACCCTGACCTGATCACGAAGTATGGAGAGTATAAAGGGTAGGCTCTTTTACATGGATGAGCTTTATATCGAGAATTTTAAGAAGTTGGCGATGACCAGACACTTGGGTGACAACATGACGTCTGTGCTCATAGCTATAGCCTTATTTGGGCTCACAGTCTACTTCCTGACATCTAGAAAGAGGAGAAATACCCCTCCAGGTATGCATTTTCAGAGGAATGCATTTTCACCCTGCTGAATGTTGAATTGTGGGAGCTGGGATGAAGCATCCACTACGAAATTCTGACCTCAACTTGTGGATTGTGTGATGTGTAGCAATCCGTGGTAGGCTACCTATTCTTGGAAACATATTGCAGTTCAGAGGAGCGCAACCTTTTTATATACTTACCAAATGGGCAGAGAAGTATGGTCCCATCTACACGCTCAGAATCGGAGCAATAAATGCTGTGGTGCTCACTTCAGGTGACCTTGCCAAGGAGGTACGTACTACTGGTTCTCAAACCGTCAAGTGCATCGTAGAATAGACCCGACGTTACTGAGCTCAAAAGAGGAACAAGTGTTATTATAATATTTTTATATCCAGAACGGAAATAGCTCGATGCAGAATCAGGAGACCGATACACGAAGCGTGCCATCTGTTTATGAAAGCATACGTTGATTTTACAGTTACGTGTATTTTACAGTTATTCCGTCACCGTAATGATGCAGGCCTTGGTTACGAAATATGGTTCTTTTCCCAGTAAGCATATGACTACAGCTTTAACAATTGCGACTCAGGATAAGAAAATGCTCCCAACATTGGACTATGGACCACATTACAATGCTCTAAAGCGGCACATGGTCACTCACCTGTTGGGTCCTATTCCACAGGTAAAGTTGATGTCGTAAATGCAGGACCGAACACCGACGCCTCTTGCCCAAGTATCCACAATAGCTGAAATTGGTGGTATTTAGGGGTTATATTGTCATGTAATATAACATTCGGACATTTCAAGCAGTATTGTGCACTCATGGATAAGCATATGCAGTCAATTCTAAATCCAAGTTTGTTTTGGTGTCTTTTCTCTTCGCAGAAAGAGAATCGAGTGCTCCGACATGAATTAATAATCAGAATGATAAATGGCATGTTTGAAGATATGCCAAGCGATGGAAGGGTCGTAAATATGAGTGCCATTGTAAACAACCTTCTCTTTGAACTTGCGCTCCGCCAGGTACTATATGCATTTACAACACTCATTAGTTTCTGTCAAACTTGCCCATTGAAACATTTCTTAGACCACATGGATTGCGTAGCCACTTGAGATAGCATTGACTGAAGAGGTTTCTTCTGGACGTCGGATTTGGTCTAAATCAGTTAATATTGCTATGCGCAGGTCTTAGGATTTGCCCCTAAAGAGATGTATGTGGCCGAACTTGGCTTTCTTAACCGAGAGCAAATCTATAAGATCTTAGTACAAGACCTTCTCGAACTAGGTCTCCAATTCGACTGGAGAAACTATTGGCCGATGTTGAGTTGGGTGCCAAATAAAAAAAAGGAGAACATATGGAATGAGACAGCTAGGAGGAGGGATTTGGTTTGTGAAGAATTGTGGAAGATGTACAAAAAACAATTCGCTCTGACGGTGAGAATTTTTCCAAACCACTTATTGCCACCCTGTATCTTACGCCTTTCAGACTAGCGATGAATTTCAAATTAGCTAGGATCCTAGAGTGGATTAAATACTAAAGATTGTGGTTCTGAGTATAAATTGTGAGGAAAACTGAGTCTTCAAATATCTTACCTCGATTTGAAAATGGGGAGGGCAAGCAGGGACCTACAGGATGCTATGCTGACAATATCAATGAAGATGATGAAACCTTCAAGATAAAAGAGAATTTGATTCCTATGATTATATGGGAACTCGTCCTCGAAAGTGTTGACACTGTCTCCGTTGCTAGCGAGTGGATAATATATGAGCTGGCCAGGAACCCGCAGGTGCAGGTGAGTTCACTAATCGTTCCTTAAGCTGGAGAGAAATTGCGACTGTCAAGTGGTTTTCATGACTGCCACCTTGTTGCTGAGAGGTGGCCACATGCAACCTTCGTTCTTCAGTTGAGTATGTAGACAGCATGGACTTCCTAACATGAATGGCCAAGAGAAAATCTGTAGAGAGCAGAAATGTGTTTATGTTACCACTTTTATCTTTTACGCAGGAGCGGCTCTATCAAGAGATAAAGAGCGTCGCAGGCGATCGGATGGTGAACGAAGACGATATGCGAAATCTACCATATCTAGATGCCATCATCAAAGAGACTTTGAGAGTGTACAACCCTGTCCCTGTATTGATTCCACGAATCCCTGCTGAAGATATAACTCTTGGCGGCTACGACATCCCGAAGGGCTGGGATGTAAGTAGATCTCAAATTCGTCCTTCGGTACTAAATGGGAACTATTCGAACGGAATTGAGGTTATAGGTCGTGTCTCAGCCTCATGCTGTGCTTCTTTTCTATGCATCGAAAGAGACAGACGAGACCTCAAGTGTTTTAATTAGAAATTATTATGAGGGTTGATTGACTTCTTTGGTTGACCGCGATCATCGATGTTGTTTGTCTCATGAAATGTTGCTGGAGTACAGGTTATTGTCAATCAGTGGGGCATTGGAAGGGATAAAACGCGATGGCCAGACGCAGATGTTTGGGACCCTGAACGCTGCCTGCGTGACTCAAGCATAGATTTGGGAATCAAAGATTTCAAAATCACACCGTTCGGAGGAGGGAAGCGCATGTGCCCTGGCATCCAGCAGGGAGTGTCAATGATTTCACTCGAGGTTTGCGGTATTGTGCAACACTTTGAATTTTCCTTTCCTCCTAATGAAGGAAACACTGATGCGGAAATTAGCATGGTGACATTCACCACACGCAAAGCTACTCCTATGCTCGCATATATCAAAGCCCGCGTGAAAAATATTTTGCCAGCTTAAACTTTTGTGAGCTTGTGGTTGCGTAGCTATTTAAAGACCTGCTCGAACACCTGTTTATAAACCTGCTCTTAGTCTTATGTACGGTATAATATGTCGTCTGACTTTGGTATAATATGTCATGATAATCTCCACTCCAACCCAGAATCATCTTACAAATATGTAAGGTAAATTTCTCCGATCTGTACATTACTATGTGTTACGTATTTCAGAATGTAAATGGCTTCAATTTGTTTTTGCATGATGGGTCTGGTTTGGATTGAGCAGAGGTTTTTTTCTCGGAGACACGCCAGATCTATCTAGATCTCACAAGATAGGCCGACCCTACGAAGATTGTGAGATGTACCGGTACATCTCACAATCTTCGTAGGGTCGGCCTATCTGAGACGATGTAAGGCAAGTCCTAAGAGTCTGCAATTTTTGCATTTTCTTCCGTCTTCATCTGAATTCAGGGCTTCAATTCGTCTCCATTTCAAATGTCGGTGGCTCACATCACCACATAGCCTTGGGTTGTGTCACTATGTTCAAGCCCAATAGAGCTGCTGTGAGCATGATCACACTTCAGGTGTGCAAGCTCTGGTGGGTGATTGAGTCGTACTATCTGTAACAAGCCCGCCGCCTTCCAAGTCCGCCCGGGAACAATATGCAGTAAAGTATCTAACGCTATTTAGAATTTTTGCAACAAACTTTTCAATTAAAAAAACATTTGGAAAAATATATTACGATGTCATAATGTCTGTTGATTTATATGTAATAAAGCGATGTATTATAATTCTGATAAATTTCGTATAATGTGTCTAACATGAAATATAAATTTTCAGAAAAATATTCAGAAATCTTCAAAAAATCATCACAGGATTATATTGTGTAGGCTTGGCCACGGTCCAGACTGGCGGGTAAACCGGTCCCGGTTTTCTCTGGGGAACCATTAACCGATAGATTAACCGGTCCCACAGAAAATTCATCACCCTAATGTAATGTAGTGCATTTCTTGGTCACAATCCGGTCTGGACCGACGGTTAATTGTCGGTCCAGGTTAACGATCCCAAATTTTCTCTGGGACTCTGGCCAAGCCTGATACATCAAATGCTTGAAAATATACTATAAATATTCGGAAACGTAATAAAAAGTCTTCAAAAAATCATTGCAAGAACAGGGTAAAGTTATATGTGATATAGCTAAAGGTACGAAGCTGCAGCTGAGGTTGGCTCCTGGTTATGACCAACTACCCGCTAGCAAGGAATCATTACAGAATCTTGCGTGCAAATTCAATACTTTGCCGTTTTCTATCCAACCACACAATTTACGTAAATTGCAAGGAATGGTTTATCGTCGAGTCAGAGGAAGACTTGATATATAATATAATATCATTATATTCGATACTTGAATATAATAATGTCAGTATCGAGATAGATCAGTACCGGCATCGGGTTCCGTCCGTCCAGGAGACTAGATTGCGGAACAGGGAAGTAAAGGTACACAGAGGAGTGAGAAATGCGACTCGGCATAGCACGAGTTCCTCATGATAATACTCATATCAATAACTGTACTTGAACAAGCGTAGTTTTTTTATATGAGTAATGTCATCTCGACTCTGGCTTCGTCTGCTTTCGAGAAGAAGATTCACTCAAACATCCACTTCCAGACTCCATCTCAGACGGCAGGGTATACCTGCATGAAGGTCAAATGGCATTGGGAGTGTCTAAGAAATAAATTGCAGCAATAAATCGCCGCCGGAAGCAGACTTATTCTCTTGTTCACTCACATTGCAACTCACGTATTTATCGCAGAGCTTGCAATGTCTTTAACTGTCAATGAGCGCTGGCCTTTGTCTACACAGTAGGCATTGTAAACTATCGGAAACTCCTCCGGCGATGCTTCTCTTCCGGAATTCTTCTCAACGATGTTGGAATTGTCTCTTCAAAACGTCACCTGTCAGCGCAGAGTGCAAATCAAAACAGGACTTCTCACAGGGAATGAAGGAATGATCTCATGGACCTGATACGACAGAATTCAGGTCAGGATCGTGTCTTCTAAGGTCTTGACCCCACACTCTTTTAAGATTGAGGTAGAGGAGGTGATGGATCTCAAAAGCGGGGTACAGGGTATACGCACTTCACTTCAAAGTTGGAGTGGACGGGACACCCATCCGTGCCGCAGGATGGGCATCGAATGTGACTCAAAAGAACGTTTCACATTCCTCCACCTCATCTTCTAAAAGGTTAGCAGGTCCGGTTTCTCTTGAGCTCGATAGTCTCAAGTTTCTTCGACAACTGATTGCACACTTCCTCTTCTTTTGGGAGCTGCTCGAATCTCGTAGTTCTCATCTTCGATAGGAATCAGTTGACTGGGAAAGTTGCAGAAATAGAGAATAATAACACTTGATAGTGAAGTTCTGATGGTATACACACCTTTTGAACTCGGACATATGAGATACTGAAACTACAGATGATGTGGATTCATTCCAACCTCTCTTTCTATTCCGACTATGGCTCATGAGGTTGTGGCGGAATACGCCCAGTAGCTCCTGACTTTGGCACCTTCGCGCAAAAAAAAAACTGGATATGGCACCAATTGCTTCACGTGGCGTTTAGATAACGTGAATTTGTATTTGTATATAAGGAACGGGGCAAATACACGTAGATGGAGATTCAATATCAACCTCTATAGCTCTACCTTCACTTTCAAAAACCCATCCTTCTGAACTGAAATAATCATCATAAGCATACATTCATTCCTGTACATCAAACTCGCAGACTAATCCATACATGAAAATGAATTCCACCATGCTCGAGCTAAGTATCTACTAGCTTATCTACTCGCATAACTCCGTTTAGGAGCTACGATTCAGTTAAGATCTCCCGCCAAGTCCGTATGTGCAATTGCAAGTTGTGAATTTAGTTGTCCTTTCAATGTGTTGAATTTCAACTCTGAACTCAAAAAAAATTCGACAATTTGGGGTCTTCAAATTTGAAGTGGAAAGATTGATTTCTAATGCTGAAATTTTCACAATCAGAACTTTGTTCAATTTGAATAGATTTGGTGTACTAATCAGTAGTCAACTTATGAAGTGTAGGTGTAATGCTGTGATTGGGACCAAATTGAATCAAAATTACTATTAAAATTGCGTACTGTAACATATTTACCTTTTGATCAATTAATAAGGATGAACTGTTGCTGGTGTGAAATTATGTTGATAAACAATTTCAGCTCACATATCCATCACATTTGCAAATCACATCCATGACTCTAGCAACTTTTCGTGAAAAAATCCAAGATATTGCAGAAAAGTTCAATCCCTTGGTAGGAAAAGAGCACACAGAAAACATCTTTATGTCAAATCATGTTTCTCCATTCTACCCACAAACTTTTCACTTCCTCATCTAATATAAAAAAGTCTTGATGATAACACTCTAACGGTTCGAGTGTTGTCATCATGACCCAAGAGGTTTGTCAACCCAAGAGGTTAGAGTCTAAAGTCTTGGGTGTCGTCAGTGCACAAAGTGCGTAGCATCTGTTATTATAGACTCGTGCCTATGACAAAGGAAGCCCATTCGTTACAGAAAAAAGTTAGAAATATCTCGAATCCTGATCTTAATATCGACCAGAAAGATTCGTACTAAGCACGAATTCATGACTAGTCTTCCCTTCTAGATCCAATCATTAGTATGAATTATTGTTATGGTCTGAGCTCCGTGTAGGACAGGTGGTACAGACTCTAACGAAAATATATAAGAATCACGGCATCAGGTTATGGCATCAAATCAGCCTATGAATGAGCAAACCAGAGGACCTATCATATACCAGCCCACTGTAGCTCGTGGAGCAAGAATGAAGCTTTCTCCGAGAATGACTGTCAGTTTCTTCTTTTCTTCAGTAGAAATCTATTAAGAGGTAGCTTGGCCATCCAGCTTGCAGCAGAGCACCTGAAAGGGTAGCTCAGTTTCATTCATCTGTTCTGGTGATGGTTTCATGCTGATAACATTCTGGCTGCTTCTATATACATTCTTCTATTTTGTTTCCGAGAACACGTGGACGCTTAACATTCTCGGTTCGTCAGTATGCGATTGCATTCAATAGAAGCTGAAAGTGAACGGGCGCCAAGTGGATGACAAAACAACGATGGAAGATGGATGTAGTCTCGTGAATCTGTTGATTTTTAGAAGGCTGTTCTTCTAGCCATCTAAGAATGATGACGCAGTCTTCGTGGCACAGACGTATTTTTAATGCTTGAATTCGTAGGTTTTCCGACAGTGAGATTCTGAAGTGCTGTCTTGGCCGCGAGCCATAACTTGCACAGATCAAACGTGGGTCGCTCTCATTTCTCTAACTTCAACGACAGAGCCATACAATTCAGATCAAATGATATGTTCCTTTTGCAGGGATTCTGAGCTGATCACGAAATATGGAGAGTACAGAGAAATCACCCTTCCAAATGGTTGACCCCTATATCGAGAAGATTAAGAAGTCGCTGATAACCAGATACTTGGGTGACAATGTGCCGACTGTACTCATCGCTATAGCCTTGTTTGGGCTCTCAATCTACTTCCTCACGTCCAAAAAGAGGAGAAATTATCCTCCAGGTGATTGCCGAACTCGTTTCCTCCTGGTAATTTTATGAGGGAGCTGTGCCAGAGCATTAAGCACGCATTCTGACCTGATCATGTTGACTGTGATGTGTAGCAATTCATGGTACATTACCGATTATTGGCAACATGTTGCAGTTGAGAGAAAGGAAACCTTATCAAACATTAACCAGATGGGCAGAGAAGTATGGTCCCATATATAGGCTCAGAATCGGAGCACTTAATGTTGTGGTGCTGAATTCAGATGACCTTATCAAGGAGGTATGTACAGCTAGTCTTAGAACCTCGGAGTCCCTCGTAGAACAGACCTGGTATACTGTTTTCGATGCTTACTGAGTTTGAACAAGGGACATGTGTCAGACTTGACCGGTGTGACTCTAAAACTGAGATAGATCGAGAACAAAATCGGTAAAAAGATACCTTGGGTCGTAGCGTGGCATCTGGGAATGAATGCATAAGTTGATTTATGCGAATATAGATTTATTCCCAGCATATATAGAAAATGTCAGTGCTATGGGAAGAAATTCACACCTCGAAGATCGAGAGCCACCAGGCCGGGAAACGAAATTCAAGGCCGGCACGACGGTGATCCTGGATATCCATGTAGATATCAAGCTGCTTAATGGATGGAGAAATGTAGAAGATGGTTATATAAATTTCCGTGGTCAAGGCATTCAGAGACTTTTCTTCCAGAAAGGGATGCATAAATAATATGTACTACGAATGAAGTACTCTATTCGGCTGTTCAATTTTCTTACAAGTTTTCTGTCACCGTGATGATGCAGGCCCTGGTTACTAAATACGATTCAATTTCCAATAGACGACTGCCATTAGCTGTTGAGATTTTGGGTCATGATAAGTCCACGCTTGTCGCGCGGGACTATGGACCACACTACAGTGCTCGAAAACGGCACTTGGTCACTCACCTGTTGGGGCCAATGGCACAGGTAAGGTTGCTATCAACAATGCAGGGAGTAATAACAACGTCTGTTGCCCACGGATGACGAATAGCTAAAATTGATCGTATAAACGGGTGATATGGTCATGTTTGATGACATTCGGGCAGTTCAGCAGTTCTTGCATTATTGACATGCACGTGCAGTCATTTCCGCGTTGCAGATTATTTAGCGTCTTTCATTTTGCAGAAGGAAAAGCGATCGCTCCGACATGAACTAGTTGTCAGAATGATAAATGGCATGTTCGAAGATATGCCTACCGAGGGAAAAGTTGTACATATGAGACACGTCCTCAACAACTTTCTCTTCGAAAATACGATGCACCAGGTATTATACACATTTGCAAGCACTGTTTATCGTCTTTTGGGCTTGCTCATTGACATAACTGAACTTCGACATGGATTGGTAAGTTAGTTGAAATGGGAATTATTGAAAAGGTTAGTATCGACCTCGAATTTGGTTTAAGTGATTGAAAATGCGCTGTGCAGCTCTTTGGATTTGCTCCCAAAGAGATGTATGTGCCAGGTATTGGCTTTCTCTTTCGAGAGCAGATGTGCAAGATTTTAGTGGACGACCCTATCGACGCGATCTCCCTAATAGACTGGAGAAGCCTTTGGCCCATATTCAAATGGGCATCGAATGAAAAAGTGGAGAGCGTATGCAAGCAGGCAGCAAGGCAGAGGGATTTGTTGTGTGAAGAATTATTGAAAATGTACAAAATACAGTTCGCTCTCAAGGTGAGATTCGATCCAAGAAGTCGATATGTGATAAACTTCCTGTGTTCGGGCTCTGGACTGGGATTCTTGTGGATTTGGACCTTATTCGAGATGTGCGCTCTGGACACATTGCATGCTAGCATCTGACCAAAAGAAATGTTGATTTCCTTCGGCAGTTCAGTTCTGCAGATTGTCTTTGTTACAACACTATTTTTAAGCGTTCAGGACTAGCGGTGAATTTCTTATCAGCAAGATTTCTAGAATCAATTAAGAAGTACCAAAGGGTTGCGGCTTTCCACACGTCGTAGTCGAGAAGCCAATGTACGTCCCTCCAATCAATTGCACTTTGTTACAGCGCCGAGTGGGCTCTCAGTCTACATTATCAGTAGTGGTAACTCGTCATTAGTCTAACTTCGAATTGCCAATGTGGATGCCCAGCAGGGACCAACTGGATGCTATGCTGACCATCTCCATCAAGATGCCGAATTCCTGCCCGACAAGTATAGTCCAATTCTTTATATTTTATGGGAATCCGTCATCGAAAGTGTTGATACTGTCTCTGTTGCTAGCGAGTGGATAATATATGAGCTGGCCAGGAACCCCCATGTTCAAGTGAGTTCAGCCTTTGTGCATACCAAAGTTTGTTTCTCTAGCTGTAGAGAATCGTGGCCTTGAATTTCTTCTCAGCACTGTCGTTTTGCTGTTGAGAGATGGCCGCAGAGAGCCTTGGTCGCTCAGTTGTGCATGTGGACAGCATGGCTAGTTTTAACATGGATGGCCAACAAAAGCTCTGTAGAGAGCAGAAATGTCTTCATGGCTGGACTTTTTGGATAAACGCAGGATCGGCTCTATCAAGAGATAAAGAACGTATCGGGCGATCGGATGATCAACGAAGACGATATGGCAAATCTTCCGTATCTGGGTGCCGTCATCAAGGAGACTTTAAGACTATACAACCCTGTCACCGTCTTGTTCACACGGCTCACTGGTGAAGATATGACTCTTGGTGGATACAACATTCCGAAAGGCTGGGACGTGAGTATATCTCGAATTCTTCCTTCGTGAATTCATGGGAATCATCTGTATGGAATTGAGCTCATCTGTAGAGTCTCACACTCATGGAATGCTTCTTTTGTATACATCGAAAGAGTCGAGTCCCAAAATACTTCAGTGTGAGATCGATAAGCCCGTTGATCTACTCCTTTGAATGACCGCGATCACCAATGTTTCCTGTCTCATGAAATGTTGTTGGGTTATAGGTTTTGATAAATCAATGGGGCATTGGAATGGATAAACGGCGATGGCCAGACGCGGATGTTTGGGACCCTGAACGCTGCCTGCGTGACCCAAGCATAGATTTGGGATTCAAAGATTTCAAGATCACACCGTTCGGAGGAGGGAAGCGCATGTGCCCGGGCATCCATATGGCAATGGCTACACTGTTAGTCGAGGTTTGCGGTCTTGTGCAACACTTTGAATTTTCTGTTCCTCCTGATGAAGGAAACGCTGATGCGGAATCTAGTCAGGTGTCATTCACCACACACAAAGCTACTCCTCTGCTCGCATTCACCAAACCACGCGTCAAAGGTGTTCTGCCATCTTGAAGCTTTTACGTCTTGTACTAGCGAAAGTAAGAGCAAAAGTAACTTTTTACCTGCAAGAGCCAGCCAATGAATTTGTTTAAAGTCTTATGTACTCATTTTTACAGGATCAGACTATGTGCTACTATTGTGTCCGTTCTAAATCTAGAAATTTTCTTGCGATAATCAGATTGATTTTTTTTCGCTTGAATATTTGTTTGTTTTCATAATAATTTTCTACTTCAAATTATTTTGTAAATAGTTATTTTAGTAACAATACTTCTCAGTTTCAATAAAGTAATTATGTGGATTTTATTTGCTCTTGCAAAAGAAAAAGCTAATTTTGCCCGGAAGAGTGAAGACAACTACAGCGATATATGGGAATACGTTTGCTACTGGCGAGCGTGAAGTTAACCACTGAGCGGCGGAGTTTATAGAAAACAAGAAGGGACTCTAGAAATAAAGTTGAAAATCATCGTTGAAAACTAAAGCTAGTGATTTGATGTGGCGCACATTGGTGAGGCTTGCAATACCGGAAGAAGATTGATAAAAAGAACTATCAACCACGCATGCTACTTTACACTTGGTCATAAGAGTATTTAGAAAGATTACGTGACCGGACACATCGTTTCTTGCGTGGAGATGGGAATACGTATGAGAAATTTGCATCAAGCCTCGCAATCCTACGGCTTGGAGAGCACATCCCAATTCTTTGGACGCAATGATGCGGACGTAGGCGCAGAGTAAAGCATACAAATAATCTACACTGTTCAAATTTGAAAAGAACCTCAAGTTGGAACAGAGTCAGAACAAACGACAAGAAAGAACAAAGTCAGAACTGAGTATAATATAGATTGGATTTAAGAAACATTTTATGTGTCTATTTATGCATGTACCTGATATAATTTTTATCTCGCAAGCATTCGACATATGTCATCGTTCACAAATTGCGTCTCGTCAAATTATATGTCACAAAAACATGAGTGATCATTTGGATAGAGATATTGGCCAAACATGTGTAGGAATTATGAGCGATGTTGGGAGCCAAGAAGGAAATATTGACTCATAACTTAGCTTTCTTAGCTTACATGTAGACTCTCATGAACTTGCTGAAGCATGTGGAGATTAAGTGATGTGAAATTGTTTATGGTTCGGAAGAGGTTGCCTTGATAGGAGTGATGCAAAGTAATCCGCAGAGGCCTCCATTATTTTTCACACCATAAGATCCCAAAGGAATTCCAAACTTACACATTGATGTTGTGCAGTTAGAACTTCATACATTGTCCTGAAACCAGCAATCAAGCACTTTTAACTTGCATCCATCATCAGTTGGATAGTGCCTCTTTCTTATAGGAAAAGAGCAGATTGAGTTCGTTAAACGTGTCATGCGTTTAAGATCATCTCCTTGTTCGGCTTTTAAGATATGATCTTCATGCAAAGAAGTCTACTCTACACAAAGATTGATACCTGACTTTAGGTAATATTTGAATTTTGTTAATGCTACCTCATTAGGGTTTGCTGTGCAAGTTGACATATATATGGTAAATAGATCAAGCACGTGGGAACCAAAGTATCAAAAGACTAAAAACCACAGTACAAACACAATCCAAACCAAGAGAGAACCAAAAGAATATTCTAGCTAGTGTCTAGAGCACTAGAACGAAAACTAGTAATATTTCTCATAAAAGGACCTAAATCATAAGGCTCAAGCTGTAGTAAAGAATAAAAATTCTCAACAACTTTATGAGCCACTCTAAGCTCTAAATATCTAGTTTTTCATTCTCAACTTTTCTTCTATCATATAGCCTACAAATATGTTCACTCCTATCAATGTTCTACCAACGCACTTCCTCAATCCCAAGGGTGTGAGATCATGTTCTATGCCCAACAATAATATGACGTAAAGATGTAGAAATCTCTGCAAGTATATATCTTTGTCACAATAAAAAAGCAAAGTATTAACATGAAGTTGATAAAACTCTATTTTAGTGCCTTCTTTGCTCCAAATAATGCTGAGAAATTCCTCCTTGATATGCTTGTGAAGGGCCATAGGTTGCAAATTCCAATAAAATTCTGTCACACTTCACCTGAAAAACCAAGTCACCACATCTGCAAATCATACATTGGGACGTGTGGCACGCAAAGCTTCAAGAGGAAGTTGAGAAGCATCAACCGATCTCACTCTTCTGATGTAAGTGATAGTCAAGAAGAGAGCTTCAGCCTCAAGAGGTAGACAACCTATTTTTGAAGGAAGAATAACATATGAATTTTCAGTTCTCACATCCAGTTCTTCTTGTAAGAAAATCTTTTGCACAGTCTCCAAAGGTTGCCAACTTGTTTTCTTACAACCAAGATCCCACACTTGTGTTTCATATAAGATAAGTGGAAACACTAAGCTCCTCAATAAATATTTTCTAAGATGAGCTCCTCTACATCTATTTAGCAATGAATATAGAGTTTTGAAATCAGCTTCTACTCTCTTTTGCACACAGTGTGCCTAACTATAATCGCGGGAGAAATCAATGCCTAAATATTTGTAATTCCTTACTTGTTCCAACTCTAATACTTTGTAATAGAAAGAAAGCTTCAATCTAGAGTTCACAAGAATGACTTTTGACTTCTCCAAATTGAAATCCATCTGATTTTGAGCACAAAAGTTAGTCAAAGTGTCAAGGTGTTTTTGTAAACTAATGGCATCACGTGCTAGTAATATGACATCATTTGCATACAAAAGAGTTTTGATGACAAAGCCTCCAAGTTTGACAACTTCACTTTCACAATCCTCAAAACACCTATTTATGTCATCTATGAAAACTACAAGTAGAGTAGGAAAGAGTAGGAAATAAAGTAGAAACTTTAATGATTCCAATGAAACTCAAAATCTCTTTGGTTTGAGAAGTGTTGATCTTGGTCCAAAGAGAGTGATATAATGTGGTCACATCTGCTAAGAGATCTAATGATACTCTGATGTTTTGCAATTTTTTTCATAAAAGCTCAAGAGATACTATGTCAAAAGCTTTCTTGAAATCCATGACGCCACAAAACAAAGCTTTTCCATAATACTTGGACTTCTCCCATAAAACAGGCAAAACCAAGATATGATCTATAGTGTTGAATGTAGGACAAAAACCAACTTGAAACCTCATTCTCTTTTGACGACATTCAGCCCATGTGCTCAACTTTGACTCCATCAATTTGCCAAATAACTTGGCAAAAATACTACTCACCATGATAGTTGATAGTTTGTCACCAAATCCTTGGTCCAAGATATGTGAATAAGAACAATGTTCCGTAGAGACCAAGTTGAAAGAAAACCATAGATAACAACATGCTCCAACACTTTAGTGAGGATAGGTCCAAAAGCATCTCCTTTCTACTTAAGAAGTTCAATAAAAAAACCATTAAAATCCTTACAACCAACAAAGGGTTTAGGGATACATAGACAAACAACATATTACATTTATTGAAAATCTTTGCATGTACTTCAAGTTTTGTCATAACTACAGAGACAACAATTCAGTTTGATTTTTTCCAAAATATCTTTTTAAATACAAAATTAATACAAAAATGTTCAAGATAAATAATTTCTTCACCCTTTAAATCATCATAAGTAGAGATTTTCAGCTAGATGAAGTCAAGTCATTGAATGATGAGAATAAAGCTCAAGTTGCTCATACTTATGTATTAAGCTTCAAGAGTTGCTACTCCATAGCACCAACTTTTTTGAATGAAAAAAAAAAGATCTCATGTTCTTTTTTTAAAGAACATGAGATCCCTAAAAGAGTGCCAATTCCCAATAACTTATTTTTCAAATCTATATTTCTGCTCTTGAATATATATAAATGAATAAATAAATAAATATATAATGATGAAAATTATTCTCTCTCACTGATATTCTGTATTTAATTTTGGCGCGTTAATTTTAACGTTGAATCTTCTTTTGAGATTTTTGCTGAGATTTTTGAGATTTTTGAATGAGATTTTTGCTTCCATATATAAGTTTGAGCAAAACGCGGAATAATATCCAATCCATGATTCACGACAAAACAAAGTGTCAAAACTTGTTTACACTAATTAGGTCTAGAACTAAAAAATAATCTCACTCTTGAAGTTTAAAAGTAAGAAGGCGAATTTGATTGCCAAGGAATTAATACCTGAAAAAATATTGGATCAAAATGAGGTACATTGTTAGGTTTGTTTTTTTATGCTACTATTTGCTTGTTGTGAGTTGTATCGCTTGTTGTTTGATCAGCTATGAAGTGCAAACAATTGATCTTGATTTGTATAGCAATTAATGGGTATACACTCACAAGACTGGGTAAAAGTACCCACAATGTGATGTTGTATATGATGAATAACTCATTCGAAGAAGTCTTGGGATGCATAGCAATGGACTAGATCTAAAGCCGATTTATATCTGAAATAAAAGATTATTATTTTTTAAATAAATGAATGTCACAGATCTTACAAGTCAATATTTTGGTAATCATATGATCATTTATCATTCTACATTCTGTAATAACCCACTAAAGGCTAAAACTGCAATATAGTGGTAGAAAGGTCGAACCCACAGGGACAGAGGAACACACAAGGTACAAAGTGTCACGTTTAACAGACTATTGAGGAGTTTGAATTCTCAGGCGACTGTCACTCCCAGAAATACTGCAAGTGTCCACTCGGAGCGCACTCGGAGGTCGCACAGTGCAGCGTAACACACACACACACACACACACCTGAAACTACAGAAACACAACCCAGAGATCCGTTAGGACCTCTACTCAAGATTTCAGGGGGGGAAGTCTCTCAAGAGTACACTCAGCGAAGCTGCGGGTAGTGACTTCCAACTCCGGCTTTTACAACGCTTCCACTAGCTTGCTGCTAGCGTAGGAAACCCGGTTTGGACTGTGTGAGCCGAACCTTCCCACCCTTCAGCGTTTGTAGTCCAGGTGGGGGTTTGAGCTCCCATAATCTAACTTCGCTGATCACAAGCCATGTACTCACAGTGTATCCAAGACAACGAGATCATGAACACTTGCTCTTTCACAGACCAATTATCCAGAACTGAAAATAATAACTTGCTTTCTGCAATTTTCACAAGAGCATCAGACAAGCTCTTTGTTACATAAAGATCTAACCCAACTCTGGGTGACTTCCTCAACACTACAGCCGCTGTGGGCCTTCC